GGGAAACGTGCGGCTTATAACCCGGTGCGCTTTATATATGGAAAAAGTTTGAAAAATTAACGTTAATTGATACTGCGGCTTAAAATCCGGTGCGGCTTTTGGTCGTGAAAATACGGTATGTTAACCAAAGCTGAACATACAGTCTTTGCATTAAGTCAGCTATTAAGTTTGTTCCTTCAATAGGCCAAGCTTTTTTAAAGCTTCCTTTCTGTGTTCTTCTGTGTCCCCTTTAGGGGTGATTTTTACACTAACACATGCTGGCCTAGGAAGTTTGGAAGGGTGCTGAAGTGGGTAAGATCTTCGCTCATGACCTTTGTCCCACTCAACATGATGTTGTTTGTTTTCCTTCAGATCAACAAAATCTTTTCCTGTGCCAAGAGATGCTGGGCGCATCCGGTTATTCCTGAGAAAATTTGGAGTAATCTTGCTGAGAAAAGATCTTTTATTGTTCTTTAAGTTCTCACCCTCACTTCCAGAAGTGCCCAAGCTGCTCAGTCCTACACCAGATCGTTCCAGTGTGTTAGATTTGAAATTTGCCTGTTTGATCCTTTGAATGCTAATCTCTGTTGGTTGGACTTCTTTGACATCAGTTTGGTCAGACTGCTGGACAGATTTCTTACTAAGAGTAATGTCATCTATGTTTACATTCTCCCTACTGCCAGTGTAGGACGTTTCTTTTGTTTTTGAGTAAATAGAAGTTTTGATCACTTGATCATCTGGATTCTTTTCATTATCCAAAGGGAGTCCCAGTTTCTCAAGAGCCTCCCTCCTTGCCCTCCCTTGTTCTTTTTGGAGAGCATAGGTTTTATCCATGGAAAAGTCACCAGTTGCAGCTCTAGGCCTCCCGCTGAATGGCAATGATGCTTTTATCTTATGTGTTGGATCTATATTAAGTGGCGCAACATTATTTTTGCTGGTTTTGAGAATAATATTTGGGGGCAATTTTCTGGGTTTGGGGGCAATAGGAGGGCCTTGCTTGAAACTAGAATCCAACTGAGATTCTTCCAATATATGTTTGTGATCAATTTCTTGATGATTAACAATTTGCTCAGAACTTTTCTTGTTACATTTAGGAGAGACAGATTTCAGAAAGGATTCATTTCCAGCTGCTGTCTCCATCATCTCTGGTGGGAATTCTTGTTTAACAGCTCTTGCCTCATATTCTTCCATTACACCTTGGTTCCCCTTACTTTCATAATGAGATGTTGCCCCATTTTCGGCATGTTTCCAAGAATCAGTAAGGATTGATTCATGCTCTATTAAAAGATGGCTCTTCCTCTGGTCTTGGAATGGTTCAGGAGGTGGAATTACTACTGATTCCAGCTCAGAGATTCTTCCCCGAGTACCTATCTCAGGGACTTCTTTCAATATGTCCAATGTTCCATGCTTAGAAGAGTCCCATAAAGTTGGATGTAATGGAGGGAGAGTTTTCAGATCATCAGCATTGGTTTCTGGTGCTTCGGCAACAAAAATCTTGGAAGTATGAACAGTATTTTTTGCCATGATATTTTTTGGAAGGCTGTGGTGGCCTGGACTTAAGATGGCAGCAGGTATTGAACCAGAAAGAGAGGTGTTGCCTTTTGGATCAATTTGTTTATGCTTTCCATGATAATCAGGATCCAGTTCTACAAAATAAAAAATAGAGATAGGGAAAAGAGAAGGTATATAGTAACATATCTCTTTTTTTCTTTAGCAAGAAACAAGAAGACAGAAAGTTATCAATAGAGGAAATATAAGCCAAGGATGAATAAAATCAAATATTCATTTAGATTTTGCACAGTCATTACATTAATTTGATAAACTTTGGATGAAATAATAAAACATGAATAAGATATCAATAAGTTTGAACACATTCTCCAAGAGTTTGAACATTTCCTCCAAGAGATGTAGATGAGAGAAAGTAGAAAAATGCTGGTTTTCTATGGCAAATTGAACAATATAAGCACTTGCTTATATTGTTCAGCCATAGAATACCATCTTTTATGAAGAAACCTAAGTTCAAAGTACAACTGTATTAAAAAAAACTTATTGAAAATTTTCCAGGTGTACATTAACCATATTAAAAAAATGAGAACTAGATCTGAAATTCAACAGGTTAGACATTTTTAATGAAAAGCTAAAGAATGTAACCTCCCTTATGTTGAGGAGGTGAATTTTGACTAAAGACATCTATTTCCTGAAACTTAATTTTTAACAAGCTAAATCAACATATAATTTCATCTCAAAGTATTATATTTTAAAGTTACCAAACCTAAAAACATTACATGAGACAATCTGCACTATATTAAAGCCTTTTCCGATAATTTGGATGGCACAATAAACATCAACTATTTTGTGACCTTAAGGCATGCTTATACAAACAGGAATTTAAATCTGTGTCTTGTTTCTTCAAAACTCAGTGAAGAATTACTCTTCAGCTGAAGTGGCCCCACTGCAAATCACTTATAACACAGTTCACAAACTTACCTTTGGGGACATCTCTTGTAGGCCATGTCCTTGTAAGTTTGGAAAGTTCAACAGCTTCTGCCTCATCAGCAGAAACTCCACTGTCTGCTTCAGCATCTAAAGAATGCAAAGTTTCTTCAAGAAACATAAGGCATTCTTTTTCTTCAACTGTTAGATAATCAAAGCCACCGTCATTCTTTGAGACAAAAACAAAGAACAAAACAAAAAAACTGAGTAAAGGAGGAATCATAAAAGCTTGCTCTGAAAAATAAGATTTTCATCATTCAAACTTATCTATTCCATTTCTGGGAAATATTAACCAATCTTTCTAACCTAAGGTGACCAGATTTTCAGATTGGTAAAGAGGGACACCTTTGACCCGGGAGGGGCGGCTGTGTGTGATTAAAAATATTTTTTTTCACTTAACAAATGTGGCAAGAAAAATTGTAAAATGGGGCAAAACTCAATAAATTTCTCACTTAACAACATAAATTTTGG